CTTAGATGACCCAAACTCTGCATCACGTATGAGCAGTGTCGTCCCCAACAACCAGCATTATCCAATTTCTATGGAAAAGGGGAGAACCAGACAAAAACGTGTTGTCTTGTCGTCTTTACCCTATTCTTGTTAACACAAGAATGCGCAAAGAGGGGCAGCTGTAGACACTCATTTTTGTCCGGGTCTTTTTATTTATTATTATTATTATTTTTTATTTAATTTTGTTGTTACATGCTTGCAGGCCAACCAGTGACCCAACTGAAACCCATCATTCAAGCCCATTACAAGAAATTATCAGCCCATCCAAGAAGTTGACCCAACAGTTGATCCAAGACCCGACCCAAAGGGGGATCCGACCCGGTCCAGAGCTGGTTTCTGCCAGTCACCATATCCCGTGCCATACCTCTCTGCCACCAGCAACTCACACCATGCCCTGCTCCAGTCACCATGATGTGTTAGCTCCATGCCGGTCACCATACGTGACCATGCTCTGCCATCAACAGGCCAGCCTTACCTCTAAAGCCTGGCAACACCGAACGTGAAAGGACCAACCAAACTTTTTTCTGTTTTATATTTTTGTAAGGGTATAAAACCCGAAAAATCAACAAACAAAAACAACATTTTTTATTAGAAATAAAAAAAAAGAAAATTATCAGCAATCAAAACGAAAATTTCTCAGCAGTAATTTTTTTTACTGGGAATCAAAAGCACAACACCAAAAAAAATTCTTAAAGGTATTCTAGTATCTTATATCCCAATTTATTCATTCAATTCCTAGAATACAACTAGAAGTAGAATGTAGTTCATTTCTTTTCTTGAATCGATGCTATTTCCATGCTAAAATAAATAAATAAATCCATGATAAGGGTGTTAGCTTACCTGGCTGCCGTGGGGGTTTATCGGGTAACACCGTCGTCAGGGAGTTGATAGGTTAGTGAGAGTTGAGTTGGGGTCGCCGGACCACCTTGTATGGTGGTTGTTTTGTAGTTTGACCCACGTCCAAGAGGTGTCTTGAATCGCATTTAGGGGCTGTTTTCGTGGTGTTCTCCTAGGTTGAAAGGCCTGGTCGGAGTTAGAATGGCCACCCATGTAGGGTGGCCGAGGCGGCGGAACTGCTTCGGTTCTTTGGTGAGCCGGCTGCTGTGTAGGGTGGTGTGAGACGAGAAGAATAGGGGGCTAGGGATTTAGGAAATCTCGGGCAGAATGAGAGAAAGGGGAGAAGTAATTTCATATTAAAATTTTTGGGTAAATCATGTTAGGGCCCTTTGATCTTTAACATGTTTTATGTTTCAGTCACCTAATAATGGGTCTATTACGTATAGGTCCCCTAACTTTAGGATTTCCATGTTATTCTGGTCACTAATTTAGGGATATTAGCAGTATGGGTCCTTTTTATTTTATGATCTCACGCGTGTTTTCACTATTTGGGCGTAAATCACAGTTAAGTCCCTGTTCATTTATAAGACTTACATTTTGGTTATTGAATGAAATCACGTTCTTTTGATTCGATCCTTGAAGTCTTAGCATTCCCGTTATAGTCACTTTTTATTCTGTGAAATGTTTTGGGTTTAGTAACCATTTTTAGCTGATGTTTTATGATTCATTTTATTTTGACTCTTGTATGTATATTAATGGACCTTGTTGATATTAAAGCTTTAGTCTTCAAACTTGCTTGTTTTTTATTTTAGTCCATATTTATTTTTAGTTATAGTTTTGATAATATTTATGATTTTGGTTATCTGCTTGCCTTATTTTCATTTCGATCCTTCATTGTTGGCTCTTGGTTCAATTAGATTAATGTATGATTCGGGCTTAAATTTTCTCTTAAGTTTATTTTAGTCCACATTCTTTGCATAGTGTGGGTAATTTGGTGATATTATTATACTTTACGCCCCTGTAATATTTCATTATTTTAATTTAATATTTTTATCATCTAGTTTCATATTAGTTGTGTTATTCTAGTTCAAACCATGCAATTTTTATGCCCTTGAATGTTTTGTGATTATAATATACATACTATAGTTATTTAATACTAATGTGGTGCGATTATAGGGTATTAACTTTTATTTATGTTATATTACTCGTTTTAATTAGATTCATGGAATGTTTTAAGTATGACGAATGTATTCTGTAAACGGTATTGATATTTTATTTATTCGAGTACTTTTCAAGAACACTGTCTTTTATAGAACGGACGTGGAAAGTATCACTTGGTCGAAGTGATGCAATCATATACGACGTTCAAACAGAATATGATAAATAAAAAAAACGCAAATTCTTCCTTTTACGAGCTTATAGAAATTATTTTTTATTGTTATTCTATTTTTTGTTATTTTATTTGATGTTCATATTGTTTAATATTTAAATTTTAATCTTTATTATTATTTCTTCATTGAATCTTAATATGAGTGATGTATGTTTTGGAAAAATAAAATATGATGCATTTTATGTCAATTTTCGATATTATTTTTTTAATTTAAAGAGAAAATATTCTTTACAAGTAAGAAATAGACGAGGTAGCTTTCCCGACGGAGGATTGCAAATCTCGGGATTTCTTGTCGAGAAAAGGTTTTTTTTTTATTTTAACAAATATTCAATAAATAGATCATATTTTTACTTCTGATTCAAACTTTAAGTTATACCATTTATGACGATATATAAGCGACTAAGTACCGATTTTGGGCGTTGTGGATGTTTATCTTTTCCACAGACGTAACCGACTTCCGAACCCCTAAATTTTCTTTTGATAACGCAGACTTGTATTCTTATAAAAAATGATTTTCCATAAAATTGTTTTTTAAATTAAAAACATGTTCTTAGGTATTCGACTTACCTAACTCAAAGGTCGATGGCGACTCCCTTTTTCAATCTAATTCTCAAATAAATTCAAAATTGTCACATTTTTAAAAATAAAAATCATAATTGTTTTTTTAATAATGATAAAAAAAAAGTTTTATAAAAAAAAGGTTATGACAAATACAATATCAATTATACTCAAGAATTTCATTATCTTTTCATAACCTCTAAACCATTCATCACCATCACTTCACCCAAATCCTAAATATTATAACCACGAGTCACAATAATCATCCACAACCAGATTGACCAAAACCTGACCCATCGTCACCAATCTCATTCAATCACTATCCACAACCACAAAAAAACTAATAATAGCAGCCAATAGACAATGACGTAAACAACCAAAGAAGTAACGAAAAAAAGAAAGAAAAGGAAAATCACCATCTCAATTTTTGATGAATGAAATGATCGTCAGTCAATTCCAATAATGGGATGACTTCATTTGGCCATAATATTAACATTGTTCAGTTTCAAACTAAACCATCGATTGACAGCGATAGATCGAAAAACTTCAACTTTTAATGTCTATTGAGATTTGAGGAGATTAGAATATTTTTTTGTGAGTTTACATTGAAGGAAAGAAATAGAAGAATAATAGAATTAGTTCAACAATCTTTTATACCAATGAAACTACAAAACCACGTTAGAAACAATGACAAAAAGAGAAATGGTGACTGTCAATTTGGAATAAGACAAGTTCCAGAGACTTATAGAAGACGACTGTCAATTTGTTTTAATTTATTTTCATTACAATCATTCGAAAGACTTAGAATTTTCTAGGGAAGAAGATGATTTTAACATGCAATGTCAGTTTTCTTTAACGACAATGATCGTAATGAAAACAAATTAAAAAATTGTGACCAAAATGTAAACATTCTAAAAGCTCAAAGACCATTTATATAGTTTAATGTAAACATATTATTAAATTATATAAATTATTTTAATATTTTGAATAGGATCTCGTTACACAGATTTATGATCGTTGGATGAGTAAAAAAAGATGGTTGAGATTAACAGTAGGAAATGAGAAGATATTTACTGGGGGAAAAACAAGAAGTCAATTTAAATAATATATTTTCACTTATCCAACGGTCTTAAATCTGTATAAAACTCTTTAGTTTTACCTTGTGTAACTGGATTCTAACTCATATTTTATATAACTAAATATTTGTGTAATTATATAAAGCGTTACAAATTGAACAATGTTTTATATAATAAAATAAATATTATAGAAGTTATAATATTTATATAATTGGACAATATTTTTACATAATTTGATAATATTTTATGTAATTTGTCTTTAATTTAATATTATTTTAGTAACCTTGTTCAAACAAAACAAAAACAATTCTCGAAAACTCCGAATAATGTCATTTTGTTATTGGGTTATCTATAAATTTATTTTATTTAGTTCCGTCAATTAATGCGAGACGTGTGTGTTGTATTTACATCGTAATAGGCTTAATATTATACAGATAAGGGTAAACTACATTAGTGTCATCAAACCTTTAAGATACTTGCATTTTAACCACTAAACTCTTGAGACACTAGCCGTCGAGCCAATATTATACAGATAAGGGTAAACTATTAATAACAAAACTAGTTACTTAAAATCACACAAATATTATATAAGAAAAATTATAAAAATCTAATTAAAAACCCGAATAAAATATAGATGTGATCGCATCGATAAACGAATAAAAAATTTAATAATATCTCTCCTCGTGTTTTAACGAAAGCCAACCTTTTGCTTAAAAAACAAACACTGAATTGGATTGCAAATAAAAAGATTCGTTGATAAATGGGAATATAAAATGATAAAGGAATCTGTATCAAAATTTTAATTCACGTGAATTCGTATTTATTTTTTTGGACAAATCCCTAGTATTTTATTTTAAAAAAATAAAATTAAATGAAAAAGGTTAAGAAGATATGTAGGAAATGTCAATTACTTATAATTTAACAACTCGAGATTTCGAATGACAATCCAAAGCACGGGTAAGCGATGAAAACAGTCTTAAAGAAAAAGATACATTCAACCCAACAAGTTAACACAAGCCAACCAGGCAGACATGACCAAATGGCCATTTTATTTGAAATCGTAAAAGCCAAAGGCAGAAACTGGATGCTCGCAATTGAAATTACTCAAATCCTAATGCTTCCTTCATCTGCAGGAGAAATTCATAGATTTTTTCATGGTCAGGAAGAGACTTGGCTACACTGTCCTTTTGCATGCACCTCTTAGCCCATGCTATCAGCTTAGGGCACTCCTCTTCAATGCTGAAGTCCCCACACTTCTCGTACGCATGAAACCAGCCGTAAAATGCAACCAAAGCAATATCCACATATCCAAAGTTGTCTCCTCCAAAATAAGTCTTGTCCCCAAGCTCCCCTTCCAACACCTTCAAGGTGTCGATAAATTCCTTCTTTGCCGTTGCTTGTTCTTCTCCCTTTGTCTTACATATTTGGGACCCCTGCTCATATATCTGCATTTCATTCAACAATGTTTCAGGCACAATATACAGTTCAAAGATCAAATAAAAGAAGAAAAGGAAGTACCTTCTTGTCAATATAATCACCCCAGAATCTAGCAATGGCCTTTTGGTAAGGATCAGAAGGGAGCAAAGGAGTTTTGTCATGCCAGACCTCGTCCAGGTACTGAACCTGAATGAGTGATTCACAAATAGGTTTGCCATTATGGATGAGGACAGGGATTTTCTTATGAACAGGGTTCACCTTCAGCAGCAGATCACTCTTGTTCCACAAATTCTCTTCCTTGTACTCGTAGTTTATCCCTTTCTCGGCCAAAGCAATCTTCAGTCTAATCCCGAATGCACTTGGCCAGAAAGTCAGCAATACTAGTTCTTCCGCCATTCTTGCAATCTTAAGATTCAAAAACTCAACTCACTACTAAAGCTCAAATCTAGGTTTGTTTTGGCTTTGGTTATGAAATTGCATGGTTGCAGTTTATATTTATAGGCAAATGACGTTTAGGGTTGGTAGGTCTTTCTTGGCTAATGGCTTTCCTCGTAAAATAAATTATTCAAATAAACAATAATGAGTTTTTCCGTAACCAGATTATTTTTTTCCATAGAAGCAGTATTATTAAAAAGTGAATATTCAATATTATAATAAGAGTTTACAATTATTATCATAAACTAAATATATAATTTGGACATTTTCCTATAACATTAAAATAGCCACTTTAGATCATACAATGACATACATGAAAAATGTTAAAAACCCAACCAAAATACTTGAACAAAAAATAGATACATACAAATCTGACTGCATCGGCAAACGAATCACAATAGGAGATTAAATTATTGAAAGACCACCGAGAACTACAAATCATAGTCGAGCGTAATGAGAATCTATTCACGATCGAAAAATCACATATCCAAATTCAATCTAATCTGATGGTCCAAAGCAAAGTATCATCTTGATTAATCGTGACGTCGTCAAATCCAATCCTGATAAAACATAAAGTAAAAAAAATGGACAAACGATCGAAGAATATGTCATAAAGACAGAGATAAACGTGCCACAAATACATAATTATTCTTATAAAAAATTAAAAAAGAAACAAAGAGAGAAGAAAACTGACGGTCGGTAATCAACATTAAAATCGGTGCATCCACCGACTAAACAAAACCAAAAAAAGAAAAAAAAATTGATATGATGTATAAAAAGCGATATAAATTCTTCATAATAAGATTATTAAAACTGGTTAAAATAAACATAAATTGTTCAAAATATTCAAATACATTATTAAATTATATAAATTATTATAATTTTTGCAATACTTTATGTAGTTAATATTTGTGTAATTACTTGAAGCATTACAAATTGAATAATGTTTTGTATAATTACATAAACATTATAAAAATTATGAAAATATGTGTAATTCAGTATTATATATTTACAATATTTTATGTAATTTATATTTAATTTATTATTATTTCAATAATTTTATTGTAAAACTAATACAAACAAATAAAAAACGAATCTCGAGAGCTCAGAATTATGTCATTTTGCTATTGGTTTATCTATAAATTTTGTTTAGTTCCGGTGATTCATGCGAGGAACGTCACGTGTATTGTATTATATATTTTTTAACCTCGTAAAAGACTATAGTGTAACGATAAATGATAATAAAATTATATAATGTCTAAAAATCCAGTGCAGATTAAGAATCATTCTATTAAACGTGCCGTATTAATAGTTTATCAAATTATGGAATAGATATAAAAGATAAAACGACGTCATGCTGACGAATAAGTCACGTCATTCACTATTTATACTAATTCTTGAAAGCGTAATATATATTCAAAAATTATTTTCATTCATTTATCAAAATGTTCAAACTCGAGATCTCAAGAAATAAAATCAATCATTTTGTTACTAATTCCACTTAGTTATACTTAAAAATAGAAGATAGTAATACAATTAAAAACTTAAATTGAAATGGTGATTCTTGTGATAAGTTTAATAATATTTAACTTAAATTAGTAATTGTTTATGATTTAAATTAATTTTTTAATAATTTAAATATCAATCTTTATTTTTAAATATAATTAATTAAAGCAAACTAACTTCCATTAATTTAATCAGTATTTTGTTTTAAATATCAATCTTTATTTTTAAATATAATTAATTAAATCAAACTAACTTCCATTAATTTAATCAGTATTTTATTTAGCCGATTTTAAAAAAAATTATTTCAATTAAAATAGCGGTGTACATTTCAACCATAAATTGAAATCGCAGTGCACAAGTAGACTACAATTATGGAATAGATAATTTAAGTTACATTTCAATTAAAATGACGTCATTTTCGTAAAAGACTATATTGTAACGATAAATAATAATAAAATAATATAATGTCTAAAAATCCAGTACAGATAAAGAATCATTCTATTAAACGTGCCGTCTTAATAGTTTATCAAATTATGGAATAAATATAAAAGATAAAATGACGTCATGCTGACGAATAAGTTACATCATTCACTATTTCATACTAATCCTTGAAGAGAAAATAATTTGAGTGAATGTTTTATAATATACGATTTTAATCAAATTTTTTTATTTGTAAAAATAACCAATGAATTCGCAACACGAACTCCAATTTCGTAACACAGTTTTCAAATCTGCAACATAGAATTTAGAATTCGCAACACAAAATTTATAATTCGCAACACATAAGTCAAATTCGCAACACGAATTTCTTTTTCGCAACTCAATTTTTGAATTCGCAACACGAATTTTAATTTCGCAAAAGAGCTATTATTTTCGCAATACAAATGTAAATAATATATCCCGTAAATCGTAACTCATAACCTAAACCCCTAAATCGCAACTCAGTCTCATCTTCATCTCTCACTCTCTCTGGCGATATCCGTCTCCATCTCCGGCGATATTCGTCCCCATATCCGACAACCCCCTCTATCTCCATCTATCACGACCACCCTTTCACAACCATTTACGACCACAAATGGAAAATCAATAATCGATGGTTAGTTTTTTTTAATTATTTTTATTTTAAAATTTTTGTATTATTATTAGATAAATAATCATTTTCATATTTAAATTAATGTTAAATTTACTCGTATTTTCAATATATAGATTAACCATTTCACTTAGATTGCTTAGTAAATTCATGCGGTTGCTGCCAATACTGTTAACATTTTAGTCTTTAACCACGTGAAGTTAGTATTTGTCTTTGTTTTTTGGTTGAAGTAATACAATTCATTCAAGTTTCAATTTGAAGAATAATAGTAATTTATTCTTGAAACATAAATTCGCAACACGAAATCACAACTCGAAAATGAAATTCGCAACACAAAAATCGAAACTCGAAAATGAAATTCGCGTTGCGAATTCAAAATTCTACTTGCGAATTTCATTTTTGAGTTGCGATTTTCGTGTTGCGAATTTAAGTTTCAAGAATAAACTACTCTTCTTCTGCAAATTGAAACTTGAATGAATTGCATTACTTTAATCAAAAAACAAAGACAAATACTAACTTCACAGGGTTAAAGACAAATATTGAGTTGCGATTTAGGGATTTAGGTTATGAGTTGTTGCTTATGCGTAGTTTATATACCCAAAACATTTGTGTTGCGAAAATAAAAGTTGTTTTGCGAAATTAAAATTCGTGTTGTGAATTCGAAAATCAAATTGTGAAAAAGAAATTCGTGTTGCGAAAAAAAAAATCTAGTTGCAAAAAAGAAATTCGTGTTGCGAATTCGAAAATCGAGTTGCGAAATTGTCAAATTCGAGTTGCGAAATTGTCAAATTCGAGTTGCGAATTTGACTTATGTGTTGCAAATTCCAAATTATGTGTCGCGAATTTGGAAACTATATTGCGAAATTGGAGTTCGTGTTGCGAATTCGAAATCGAGTTGCGAATTCGTTGGTTATTTTTTTCAAATCCAAAAAAAAATTGGTTAAAATCGTATATTATAAGACATTTTCGGTCACTCAAGTTATTTTCTCATCCTTGAAAGCGTAACATATATTAAAAAAAATTACTTTCATTCATAAAATGCTTGAACTCGAGACTTAAAGTAACAACATCAATTCTTTTATCACCAATATCACTTAGTAATTGTTTTAATAATATTTAAATTAAAATGGTGACTCTTATGATAAGTTTCATAATATTTAACTTAAATTAGTAATTGTTTATGCTTTAAATTATTTTTTTAATAATTTAAATATCAATCTTTATTTTTAAATATAATTAATTAAATCAAACTAACTTCCATTAATTTAATCAGTATTTTATTTAGCCGATTTTTTTAAAAAAAAAACTATTTCAATTAAAATGGCAGTGTACATTTCAACCATAAATTGAAATCGCAGTGCACAAGTAGACTACAATTTTAACAAGAAAATTGAAGCATAAAGTGATATTTAACAATTGGAACCATAAAGCAAAAACAAGCAGGATATTGGATTGCACTGAAAGTTGCATTTGAATAAATAATCGATTTATCAAACCCATCAATGCATTTTGAAGAAATAATCGATTTTGTTTTATGTTAGAACAGTAAACCTATAAAGCTTTTGTCTTCCATCGTCGATTATACCAACCCTACATCGACGACCCTTTTTAGCCGAAAATTTTATTAAGCTAACTCCAGCTGCACAAACTGCACATGTGGTCATTAAGCTAACATAAAGGACAATGATAATCCAGCTCATGGGAAAGTTGGGACCTAAAGTTAATGAAATTCGGTTCTCTGGTTGTTGTTTCTGTGTGATTTGATTCTGTGTCACTTTTACAGTGCTGTAATGGCTAAGAGATAAGAATAATGAGTTACTATTAGTATAACCTTTTCTTTATTTTGGTTCTGGTGTAGCAGCAAATTATAGACTACTGACTAGGTTACCAAGAGATATATATAGAAAACTAGTCCAGCCTTATAAATTTATAAATGGCAGTTTCATATATCAAAGCTCACTATCACGGCACTTGTAGAGTGCAAACATGTATAACATGTCATGTAATTTTGTGATCGAATCTCAAAAATCATATTTGAAATTCATCGACTACCTATAAACCACACTTGTAAGTCTAAATTTAAATTTTTATTTTGGATGTTCATTCCGAAACTATTTTATCCTTATTTAAATTATGAAAAACTATGTTTTAGGGACATTACTTCCTCAATTCAAGCCAAAGTCTAAAGTTATTTGTACCCATTTCTGCAAAAAAAAAAAAAAAAACTGGGCAACAAATTTTTTTTTCCTGTAACTTTGGACAAAAACAACATGGCATTTTATTACATTACATTTAAATCATTAAGATTAGAAGTTAGCATGATGTTCAAGTTCCTAAAACAAGATTCAACCAGGCGACAATGGCCTGACCAAACGGCTGTGTGCATCAG